GCAGAACCAGGCTCAGGGAGGGGCGGGGCCATCTGCTGTGATTGGTTGGGCTGAGAGAAGGAAGACACTTTTAGACTCCTGTTCCCAGATCTCACCCTGCACGGTTCCGCATCAGTCCAAACTTCCAGTGGAATTTTTTAAACATATATTTGGGGACAGACAGTTTTCTTGGTTCAGGATTATTCCACGTTTTAAAGTAAATAATCATCATCATTTATAAACATTTACAGACGCAGAAGGCTTTCTCCTTGTTTTTCGGGCGAGGTAGAGCATATGGTTTACCGTTTGCAAGGTTGGTGGTTCGAGTCCAGCCTGCGTGCTGAAGTGTCTTTGAGCATAAACGCAGAGTTGATGCAGAGTGTGAGTGCTGCATGCAAAGCTGTGTGGATGAGACAACATTTACTGGACAAACAAAGATCTGTGCTGCGTAGATGAGACTCAGCGATGGGGTGGAGTGAAATGAAATGAAACATTTAAACATTTAGTGACGTAGTGGAGCGCCTCGAGCTCTGATGGGACTCTTGTGTTCAGGCCTCTGACTCAGGAGGAGATCGCTGAGCGCAGGGAGACGGCGAGACGGCGACACGCTGACAAGATGGCAGCAGAGAGCCACCGAGAGCCCTCCCACTCTGAGAGCGCGTCACCTGCAGGAGTCTGCACAGGTGAGCTCGTCTTTCATCTTTTTTAATGTGTCTGAACACAGCTGATGCTCCGAGGGGACAAAGGTGAGCGAGAGCAGGAAGACTCGTTCCCTTTGTGTTACTGTGGCGTGTGGCTTTCAGTTTGTGAGTCCGTGTGTGTCGCCGTAGCAAAATGTAGTCAGAGACGCTGCAGCGTGGGTGGGTGGAGCACTTTAGAACCAAAGCTGTTTGTGCAAAGATGCGTTTGGCCTTACGTGCAGACGCTCACCTGTGCAGTGGCGTTGTGCACAGTCGTGACACCATCAAGTCGCCAGAATCTGTCACACAGATGCAGAAACTCACAGGTGCTTCGGTGGTTTCAGTGCAGACGCACAAACACAGACTCACAAGCTGAAAACACGTCCGTCACCATAAATATGCAGCGTACAAGATCTGATCTCGTTTCTCTCTCAGCGAACGTGGAGAACCTGACGCTGAAAGACTCGAAGCCGGAGGAGGAAGAGGAGGCGAAGGAGACCTTTGTGGCGTTCGCTCGCGTCTACAGCGGGGTGGTCAAGAAAGGACAGAGAGTATTCGTGCTGGGACCGAAGTACGACCCCGCCCAGAGCCTGAGCACGGTAAGCCCCCCACTCGCCTGCTGTAGCTGCTTCGATTCTGCCTTCGCTTCAGTTTTGTGCTCGCACACTTCCTCCCAGCACAGCTGATGTGATGCAGGCTGACAGGTAGTGTGAGCGACGCAGATCCTCAGAGAATCCACGTCCCTGTGACTGACAGCAGGTTCCTCATGTGTTCATCGTTTATCTTCACAGAGAAATGTCTGATTAGTATCGAGTGAACAGCGACTCGAGCTTTTAATAATGTCTTAACAGCAAAATGTGATTCTGTGTCACCGTGAGGATGGCTCGACGTTACATCAGCGTGTCCGCCAGCCTGCTTGTTTCCTTGTTTCCTTGTTTCCTTGGATAAACTCCGACTTCCTGTGAATAATCTTGGATCTAAAGATTAAACAGCCTCGTCTGCAGATCGAGCTGACATAAAACTGCCTTTCAGTTCCATCAGGCTGTAAACATGTTTATTTCTGCTGGGAAGTTTTAACATGGGAGTCTATGGGGACAGCGCCCTGCTGGAGCCTCTAGTGGATCATAGTGGAACTGCAGCTTGTGTAAAACAGACATTATAAATCCTAAAGCTGTTCAGTGCTTTGCAGGAATCATGTGAGTAACCTAAGTTTCTCTCCCCTGTGTCTCGTCTCAGCTGCCGGAGGGATGCAGCGCTTCGGACGACGTGTCTGAGATTCCTCACCTGTCCCGTTGCTCCATGGAAAACCTCTACCTGCTGATGGGCAGAGAGCTAGAAGAGCTGCAGGAAGTCCCCGCCGGAAATGTCCTCGGTAAATGTGTCTCTTTGTTTTTGTCGTCGCCTCGCTGCAGCTGTCGTTTGGTGACGTCGGAGCACTCGTGACATCAGCTGGGCTCTAAGCCGTCTGACACACACGAGGTTCTTGTTAATAAAGTTGGATTAATGGCCGACCTACGGGAGCGTTTGGGGCTTTCTCTGAGGTAGACGTCGTCGAGTTTTCCCTGTGATGTCGTTGGGTTTGTGGTACTGAATCACTCCTGAGTCATGATGAACAGAAGTGTTACAATACAAAGTTCTTTGATTTAAAAAGGGGCAGAGTGTGTATAGAAATGCATCAGTGACTCACAAAGAGCTGTTCAGAAACAGCCAATCACCGAGCTTCGAATCCTTTGTGTGCCTCTAACACTGAGCTGAAAGTGTAGAGATGATTTTATTCACTGTATGAATTATGGATCATAGCAGGAAAACTGTTGTGAAGCACAGAAGCTGTGGTAGAGGTGGCGTGAGAGCAGGTAAGCACGACAGCTTCATTCTTTCAGGTTCGACTGATCAAACTTTCATTTGTTCTGTGTGGGCGCCCCGACATGAGACGCTTTAATGGCTGATGCTGAAGTAGTTGCAGTGAGCATCTGATTGGCCAGAGGCCAAGGTGGTGGGAAGCAACCTGTCTCCAAACAAACACCACCGACTCGGAGTCAGAGCGAGCGTGGAGTGCTCGTGAGAACGCAGTGAAGTCGCACGCCTGCTGTAAACTGTAAATGTGGATTTCTGTGTATATTAATTATCATGTTATCACAAACAGACGGCGTGTTTGCAGACGCCGTGTTCTGAGGTCGTTCTGTAGTTTTGGTTTAAGGTTTGGACGGAGCTCTGTGACCGTCCTGTGACTCTGATCTTCATCAGACTAGTAAATGAAACCATTGAAGTCATCGCGAGACTGAAATCAGGGATCAGGTGACGCTCATTTTCTTATAGTCTCCTGTTCAATCAAGCAGAGGAGTCGCCCCCTGCTGGACACTAGCAGGACTGCAGGCTCTGTAACACAGGGTCTGTGGGTGAAGCTGTCAGTGTTGGTCAGCGGGGCTCATAGCTGCAGGAGTGTGTTTGTCACTTAGAAGCAGAGACTCGGGGACGCTGCAGCACGTCGCAGCCCGACATGTGTTTCTCTTCTGCATACCTCACTCCTCAAACTTGTGACCTAAATTCTGACTCAAACCCAGATTCCCACATCACGGCTTTAAAGCTCGCTGCGCTCCAAGTTTCTGTGAGAACTTTTTCCACGCACCTCCTTCCTTTGATTCAGCTGATGAGCGTACGCATGCTCGTCTGACACTCGCGCACGCGCTTGTATGCGCTTGTATGCGATCTGCCTCTGTGATCTCCGTGGACGCTGCTGTCTGCTGGCTTTGTGTCTGTACTGCAAACATGTTCATCAGTGACCTTTTTCATTTAAACGTTCAGACACACATTACTGTGGATGCTTTGGGGGGGTCTGCGTGGGCTCTTTATGAGTCATTTCTGGTCAAGTTGCCAAAAAGCAGCTTGGACTCTCTTGACGATGGGCTCGGGGTCAAATTCTTCAGGTTCAAATAATCATATTTATTATAAACGAATGTTTTTGCTGGCACAGATTTTTCTACCGTGGCTGATGTGAAAGCATCGCTGCGTCCTGACACTGAGTGCTGGGCGAGTGTTAAAAGTGTCTGTGTACCAAGATTATACACAAAACTC